GCCCCTGTTGTGGTTCTGGTCCCGCCCCGCCCCTGTGATGGTTCCCTTCCGCCCCGCCCCGGTTATGGTTCAGGCCCCGCCCCAGTTACGGTTCAGGCCCCGCCCCCGTTATGGTCCCGGCCCCGCCCCAGTTATGTTCTGGCCGGCCCGGCCCTGCCGCACGCCTTCCTGCGGGCCTGGCCTCTCCCCCTGCCTGGCTCCAGTGTCACAAGACGCTGTGGCCCGCTGCTTGCCTCAGGGCCAGGTGGAGAGTGGCCCTGCCCCTGTGCTGGCTGCCCCTGCCCGCGGAGCCTGCGGCTGACCAGGTGTGCCCACCCTTCTCCGAGCAGACGACCCCGAGGCTCAGCCAGACCTCTCGCCGGGGGAGGACGGCGAGCCCCGGGTCCCGGAGCTGCCGGAGCTGCCGGAGCTGCAGGGCAGGGAGGCGTCTCAGGCTCCCTCTGTGGGTGAGTGGGGCCCCGCGGGGAGAGGCCGCCCCCTGCTCACACGCTGTCCTGGACTCCACGGCTCACCTCATCCAAAAGCAGGGACTCAAACTGCGGCCTTAGCCCTGTTGGCGCAGGGCTCTTGGCCGTGAGGCCTGTCCCTAGACTGCCTCTGGTGGGCGGGGTCTCCCCCCTGCGGCCCAGCCGTGCACGACGCCCTCGTGCACGGCCTAGGGTTGTGGCCCCCACGCGTGACGCTGTCCTCATCTTCCTGGGAAGACTTGCCCGGTCTGCAGCCGTTCCCCGCGGAGGAGAGGAGGCGGTGGGAGGAGCTGCAGGTGCCCGAGTTCCAGGCCAGCCCGGTGCCCGCCCTCACTCAGAGCGCCTGCCCAGGTGAGGGCGCCCGGCCTAGGGTGCCAAGACGCGGGGTGTGCGTGATGTGGTGGACAGGTGTGCCGCACACACGTGTGCAGGGTGTGTGTGTCAATGGGGCCGAGCGCAGTCAGCACGAAATCTCTCCTCTTCCCGTCCATCCTGGGAGGGCTGGGGAAGGCCACAGCTGCAGCCCTGCCGGGTCATGGTGAGTGCAGGGCAGGCCGCCACGCCGGGAGGGGCGACCATGGTGTGGGCTCGGCCATCCTGGGGCGTCAGCGCTCCAAGGCAGAGACCACAGTATCATGGACTTTAATGCCCCGGGTCTAGTTGTCCTCAGTGTCAAGCGTGGGTCGGCCAAGCAGCAGACCGGGACCTCCCAGCACCTGCGCAGAGCCTGCCCGTCACAGAGGTGTCCGCGTCCAGGAGGCCTTGGCACTCGTGTGGGCATGGCTTTCCCTCAGCCGCCTTTGATGGCAGGTGGGGGGCACCACACAGTCTGCACAGAGGGGCCCGTGGCACCCAGAGGGGCCCGTGGCACCCAGAGGGGCCCAGGTCTCAGTTCTTCCCTCGCTGGGCGCCAGGCTCTGCTCTCGGCTGGCAGTGGCTGAGGGTGATGGTGGACGGAGCAGGTGTTGCCTGCGCCCTCCCAGCGCTCCCTGCTGCCCAGAGATGTCCCATACCGCCTGCGCCGAAGGCCGTCCTTCCCGTTTCCTCGGCGAGCTGTCTGTCAGTCTGTCTTCTCACGGGCGTCTTGCATTCCCGTTCCTTAGGTCTGTCTGTTTCTGTTGTCACCGACACTGCCCTGGGCACTATGTGCAAGGCTGGTTTGGCTCACGGTTCTGGTTCAAGGTCGGGCTTGCCAAAAGGCCCAGGCAGTGCAGGCTGAGACAGGAAGACCTAGCAGAGAGCACCCACTGCAGAGCCCCACCTCGCTCCGTGCAGGGGGTACCATCGCTCCAGGGCGCTTTCCACGCCCCACAGCGCTGCTCCTGGGACTCTCGCGCTCCAGAGAGCCATCCAGCACCCCCAGTCTAGGGGCCAGCACAGGTCCAGAGCCCAGCGGACAGAAGATGCAGGGCATGATAAGGCCCGAGGGGCAGGCTGGCCCCTCCTCTGCCCTTCTGCGCCCCAGGGTGCTGTCTGGCAGTGGGGATCTTTCCCCGCGGGCCGTGCCGTGTCCCCAGTGTGTCAGTGTGGGCGCAGGGCCCTGTAGAGGTAGAGGTCCGGGGAGGACCGAGTCGCTGGGGCCAGAGGCCGCTCTCCACTTCCACCCAGCAGTGTGACCTCTCCTCTCCCACCGCTACCTGCCAGAAGGTGACACTGCTGCAGGCTGCACCGGCCTCTGTCCTTCAGCCGGAGCCCACCGCCTCGGGCTCTCCTTACAGCATCGAGACAGACGGACGGCACGGGGCCTGCGGACCGCGAGCCCCACTCCCTCCGCGTGACAGCCCCTCCCAGAGCTCACAGAGCATCAGGAAGAGGAGCCAGGCAGTGCCTTCACCACACTTAGGGCGCTCACCCCCGGTTTGCACCTGTGCCCGACACCAGTGCACAGGTCAGCCAGGCCCCACCCCTCAGACAGCAGCCACCTGCTTGGCAGGAAGCTGCTCTGCCCCCCACCAGGGACCTGACAGTGCCAGTGGTGCCGGGTCACTGTGACCAGACCCAAGTGTTGTTGGTGTTGGAGGCCACATATCCAAGATGGAGGCTGCGGTGGGGCGGCTTCTTCACCTGTGCCGGTGGCTGCAGAAGGCCGCCTTGTGCTGCGACCCCCACAGCCCTTCCTGTCCTCAGGAGGATGCCAGTGACACCGAGAGACCCTTCAGAGACCCTTTTGCCAGATACTGTGTGGTCACCTTCTGAAGCGCTGAGGTCAGGACTGAGCGCCTGGCCTCTCGTGCCCTGTCCCTCCCCAGCTCACACTGTCCGCAGCTGGGGTTCCCTTCTCTGCTGGACCACCGAGAGCCGGGGGCCACTGCAGCACCCACATCTAGTGAGAGCTGAGCAAACTGCTGGTCACGGGTCACCAACAGCCCACAGGAGGTGGTTTATCAGCCATGAGGCTGAGGCCCCCAAGGTCCTCCCTGCGTACTTGTTCCCTCTGCAAGAAGGGGAGGGCCTCCTCCCAGGAGGCCGCTGGCCCCGCAGCAAGCTGAGAGGACAACGGGCGCAAGGACCCTGGTCCTGCCCCCTAGGACCTGCCCCCTCAGGACCCTCTCCCTGCTGTACCCACCTGGTGGTTGCCACAGCCTGCTCTGTGACTCTGAGCCTTCCTGACTGCCTTCCTTGTCTGAGTCCAGTCCTAAGATCCCCAGGCCTCTGAGCTGCTCCTGGACACAGCCATTGAGCTTCTCACTTCCTGCCCTGTCCAGGAGACCCAAGGTCTGGCCCTGCGTCCCATGGAGGATGTGGAGGGCGCTGGGCAGTGGTATCAGAACTTTTGGGCAGGGTTAGAAGACCCAGGACCAGCTGGGCCTAGTGGCACATGCCTGCAATACCAGTACTTGAGAGGCTGAGGCAGGAGGATCCTTGCAAGTTCCAGACCAGCCTGGGCTATAAAGTGAGCTCAAGGCCAGCCTGAACTGCAGAGCAAGACCCTGTCTCAAAAAGACCAGAAACAAACAAACAAAAAAGACCCAGGACTGAACACCTTCGATTGTGCGGTGACACTTGGGGGGACGCAGGCAGAACCGCGAACCTGTACCTGCCCCAGCCCCTTCTCGGTCACCTTGGTGTGAGTAGGTGAAGTGCCGCCCTGTCGGTCTTAAGCCTGCTGCCCCTCTGGAACCGGGTCCCGTGCGCCTGCGCCGGGCTTGTCCCCGGTTTGGGGAGGCGGGGCTGCTGCAGTGCGCGGGCAGTGGGGACTGGCTCGGCAGGGCGGGCGGAGAGTGAAGCAGGGAGATGCCGGCCTCGGGGGCCTTGGCGGGGTCCTCGGCGCCCCTGACGCACCATACCGGTCTCCGCAGCTGCGCCCAACCCCGCACCCCTGGAGGACGGCTTGGAGGAGGAGGTGACCATCGAGATCGTGCTGTCGGGTTCGGGCGACGAGGAGGAGCGCGGCACGGGCGCGCGTGGGGCCCAGGCTAAGGCGTACGTGTGCCCGCGCTGCGGCAAGGCCTTCCGTTGGCGGGTCAACTTTGTGCGTCACCTGCGCAGCGGCGACGGCGAAGGCGCGGCCGGGCACCGCGGGACGCACGAAGCTCCCAGGCCGCACCGTTGTGGGGCCTGCGGGCGCAGCTTCCGGCTGGCGGCACACCTGCTAGCGCACCGCCGCGCGCACCTGCGGCCAGGGGACAGGGACGCCAAGGACCCGGGGGATGGGGACAGGCCCGGCGCGCGCCGCCGCGACCTCCCGCAGGACCGCGCGCTGCGCTGCCGCTACTGCGCCAAGAGCTTCGGGCAGAACTGCGGGCTCCTTCGCCACGAGCGCCTGCACATGAAGCGCCGCTCCAAGCAGGCGCTCAACTCCTACTGAGTGGCCGGCCCCGCCCACAGTCTGCCAGCGCTTCGGCGCGGGAAGCAGCGGCAGTGGTCGTGCCCCTCACGGACCCTCCCAGGGCGCCCCAGGCCCTGCAAGGGGATGGCGGCCTCCGTGGCATGGGGTTACCAGCTGGCCCACTGCCGGACCCGGAGGGCCGTGGCAGGACAGGGCCTTCGTGTCCCGTACCCGGGCAGCCCAAGGGCTGTGGCTACCAGCGGGCCAGCGCCATGGCTGCTCCTAAGTGCGATAAAAGATAGCTCAGTTGTGGTTTTGGGGTTTTTTTTGGGTCTTGGTTTGTTTTTGTTTTTTGCATCACTGGGAATTGAGCCAGGGTCTTCCCACTGTGCTACATCCACCACACACACCTGCGCGTTTCTGGTTTTCTGTTTTAACTTTGAAACGGGGATCTAAGTTGTCCAGGCTGGGCTCAAGCTTGAGATCCTCCTACCTCAGCCTCGCAGGGTGGTGGGATGACGGCCATGCACCACCACACCCAGCTGGAGTTCCCATTTTAAGCTCTTGCACGCTGGCCTGCTCTTTCCATTGCAGTGAGGAGGTTACATGTAGGTGGGGCAGCAGCCGAGGTCATCTGAGGGACACTGAAGGTCCCCGGACTCTAGGAACTCAGAGCTTGGCTGGGAGGGTCTCTGGGTCCCGTGAGCTCTTCTCTGTCAGAATCCCATGCCAGCATGTGTTCCCTAAGGCTGGCGCAGCTGCCAGCAGAGTCCTCTCCATTCCTGGCAGGCGTGAGGGAGCCGTGGGTGCACATCCTCGGCCTGTGGGCATGCGTATCTGCATGTGGGAACACAGGCCTCCTCCTCTGCCCTGCTGTCCGTATAGCTGTCCCCGGCTCCCTTGCATAAAGGACACCAGCCCTGGGCTTCACGCCATCCCGTCTGTGTGCCTGTGACTGCCGGGATCTGCGGTGACTGTCCAAAACAAGTCTCCACGGTGTCCTGGGGACACAGCACCGCTGCCTGCACCCGCAGCCTGGGCAGTGACACTTGGAACCAGTCCTGGGACACTGGCCGTGGGGCTTCGGAGCTGCAGACGGCCTGGGAGGCTGCTCCTCAGCATCACATGCCTGGTAGACAGCAAGCCTGCATCAGGTGCTCCTGGTCACCCACGTGGTTTTCACATCCAATAAAAGCTATCTTTTGTTTTGCATTTGGGTGCCAGAGGTTGAACCCAGGGCCTTCACAATGAGCCACATCCCTGCCTCTTTTTTCTTTTTTTCTTTTTTTTTGGAGACTTGCTAAGTTGTTTGGGTGGGGCTGCAACTTGTAGTCCTCCTACCTCAGCCTCCTAGTGTACTGGGGTTACAGGTGTACATCACACCCGCTTGAGGTTTGTGCTTTTTTTTTTCTTGGTAATGCAGTGCTAAAGATGGGTCTGCTTCAACGGGTATACAAATACCAACTCTTCGTAAAACATTTCCAAGAGGAAGTGACAACTCATTTAATGAGGCCAGTACTACCCTACAATTAATGAAAGTACCACAGTAACAAATCACAGAGCAGCATTACTATGCACAGAGACAAGAAAAAAATGCCTGCACCGAATACTAACTGGTGAGCACGACCTGTGCTCATGGGAGTTACCCCCTTAGTGGGGCAGTGCTGTGACAGGCCGGAGCAGGCCTGCAGAGTGCAGCCACCTGTTTCACTGGGCAGTAGTTTAAACGGGGTTCTTTCATGCTTTGTTGTCAGCCTAGAGTCTGCTGCTGTCGCATCGTAGTGTCTTTCCCCGTTCTCAAGAGCGGTTTCTGGTGACATGTTCTATACTCATTTTGGCCAGGGGTGGCTTGAGGGCTGAGCCAGAATGACAGAGAGTGCAGTGAGGAGACAGGTGTGGCTGGAAGCCATCCATGAAAGGAAGGGCAGCCGAGCACAGGCTGGGTTACAACCTGCCACCAGACGCAGCTCACCCCTAGAAGGCCCTCACTGGTTGCTGCCATCCCTTGGCAGGGTTTCGTGGATCTGAGCAATTACAGTCTCTGCCACTGAGTATCAACAACATTGCTGTGGATTTGCGGCCACTCACCATGCCAGTGTCTTTGCCTTGCTCCTCAGATAGCCAGCATCAGGTTCCCAGGTGGAGCCCAGCCTGAATAACTGGCATGGGCCAGAGAACCAGATGCCCCTGCTGATCAGACCAGCGTGGGGCTCAGGTGGTGATGGGAGGAGGTGGGGGACAGCTGTGAAGGTGGATGGGTGAAGTCTTTGCCTGCTATGCCCTTGGGGTTTTTTTGTTTGCTTTGTGTTCTTTTGTGTGGGGGTTTTGTTTTGCTTTTTGAGATAGGGTCTTGCCATGTAGTTCTGGCTGGCCACCTCGAACTCACAGCGATCCTCCTGCCTCAGCCTTTCTAGTGCTCAGACTGCAAGTGTGTGTCACCGCCGAGCTGCACCCCATTTCCTCAAAGACCACAGAGCTTGACTGGTATCAGGCTGTTGCCCAGGGTGGAAACCTCTGACCTAAACTTTGCTCATGAGTTTTTTTGGTATTTGGGACTGAATTCAGAGCCTTCACACTGAGCTACATCCCGACTTTTTTTTTTTCTTTTTGATATAGGATCTCACCAATTTTTAAGTTTCCCAAGCTGGACTTGAACTTCAGCTGCACCTATCCCAGCCTCCCTGAGTGCTGGATTAGAGGAATGTGCCACCATGTCCAAAGGTGTTCTGTTGGTGGCAGTTCTGGGAAACCCGTGGCAGAACCTGTTTAGCTTATGGCCAAAACCAGGGAAGGAAAGACAACATTTGGGTCTAACGACAAAAGAAAAACCAACCAACAGAAGATTAGGTAGATGCATGGTTTGGTGAGGCTGAGTCTGGGCAAATAGTTACCGGAGACGCGTGGAAACTAGCCCAAGGACTGTGGAGCCCACCCGCCCTATTGAATACCCTGCTGCCTTAGTCCGGAACTTACTCGAATTTACCCCACTAAGACAGCTTCAGTTCACTGATGATGCGCTAGTGGGTGCCAACACTTTTTTAATGTATCAGTTGACATTACTTCTCTGTTTCTTAATACATATAAAATAGAGACTTCGCGTCGGCCGTGGTGGTACATACCTGCGAACCCAGCCCTAGGGAGGCTGAGGCACGAGGATCCGCGATAGTTCGAGGCCAGCCTGGACTACAAAGCCAGGTCCTGTCTCTAGAATAAAATAAATACAATAGAGACTTTTCATGCTTTAAAATGCACTACTAAACAAATGGATCTTACAACTGCAATACCGTCTAGCCAAACAAAAAAATTAAAGCACTGCTCGCCCACATACAAATTCCCCATGATTTCTACAACGACCCGGACTATCAAACTAGGATTCAGTAACAAGCCAACTCTCGCGGAGGAACGGGTCAGGGTTCCCCACCACCCAGCTAGCCACGCACGCAGACGGACCACCCCGCCGACAGTGGGGGAGCGGGCTCCGGGGGTCACGTGATAGCGTGAGTCTTGCGGGACAGGTAGGCTCTTCCGTGACGTCATCCGCACGGGACGGCGCCGGCAGGACTTCTGCGCCTGCGCCCCTTCTCGCCCGCGCCTTCCTCCCGCGGAATTAGCGGAAACTGGCGCTGTGCCCGGTGCCTGCGAGCTCTAGGGTTGTACTCTGTGCCAGAATTTTGGCGGCGGGTGAAAGGAGAGGCCCTGGGGCAAGGTGGGGGGTGACGCCGCGGAGCCTGGTGGGCAGCGCCTGGGGCCTGGCGGCCGCGGAGGGTGCCCCCGAGGGGAGGGGACGCCGGCCCT